CAGTATATGCAGACGACTGAGATATCTTAATTAAGCTAATATAGGAAATTAAGATATTTACCTTAAATAATGAGGCCTGGGTAAGGTAGTAGCTAAATGTCGGACAAAGTTGTTGTATGCCCACCAATGGGGCCAAAGACGACGCCGTTCCGGGCGTATTACATCTGGAATATGGGATGACTCTCGTGCAAACGGTGGCCAATGGCGTGCAAACCTGTCGTTGCTTGTGCTGTGTTCATGAAGGCTGTGACGTGGTCGAGGTGGGGGGAGTCTCGGGCCGGAAGCGCAAATCGCGTAGCGACATCATGTAAGTAAAACTTACTTCAGAAGGCCGGTCTCGCCGCACCAGTTCCGCAGCCACCTCAATATGGGCAGCACAAGGAATCATGGGGGCGCTACCAGTTGCTCTCACCCGAAGACCAGAAGACCTACTTCGCCGGCACCAACACTCTCCACAACTACTGTACATGGACCTGTTGAACTCGTTGATCGAGGACGAGGTCCAGAACAACATTATTGACAATAATCGCAGACTTGTTCTTTCGCGATGACGACAACGACGAAGACAGCGGTGACGTACACCATAGGATGTTGAATCCGACCGTGCCTCCGACATATTTGAAACTTCAACTCATTCCGGATGGTGATGCAACTACGTAAGGTATAATTGGCTACTGAAATATTTGGCTGAGCCAATTACACGTTTTTTCTCAATTTGCAACGCACCCCACAAGGCAGCCCTGCTCTTCGATATTTTTCCATGGGGAGGGCCCCTGGGACATTCCTCACCGGTAGCGTTGTTGAGAACCTTGGTACCGGACAACCATGAACACGGTGGGGTGACCAGGCCCCTGTGAGCTTTGGCCGGGGACTTTGGGCAGGGCTTTCGTCGAATCAAGACTGCGGGATAAACGTTTCGAGGTACTCTCCCTCTATTCTTGGTGCTACCAAGTACACGTAGTGAAACATACAAAGTGCAACAACGTTCGGACACCACGAACAACCACAGTGATGCCGGAGGCCATGTCGGTGTGGGCCGCGGGAGTTGGCCGTGGGAGATGGTCGCCCCTGCCCAAGGCTGATGCATGTACATCGTTGGCTGCCCCACTCGACAATTTACGCCACGTGGGAGACCACGACTCTCTACATGACTAATTTTGGTACTATTTGCACTGTATGCACAGTGTATATGCTTGTATTTAACCATCAATAATCTTATGCAAATCTAGGATGTCGTGTGTGTACTTGGGGGCCGCGTCGGTAATGAGTCCCGTGTTGAGCAACTGGCGGTACCGGACGATTTTGTCCTTGAGGTCACCCGCGCGATGCAGATGCGCAA